GGATGGGTGTTCAGAAGATGTAATGGCCCCATGAAGGAGAGTTGGTGTGTCTTCGTCTTCATCGCTGCTGAGCACATAGCTCTCACCTGGAGGGACTCCCTCAGTCAGAGATCCTGATGGATGATGGTCCCAGAAAGAAAAATATAAAACTCAATTCATGCTCCAATATGAAACTAAAGACATCAGTTTTCTGCAGATCAGAGTTTTACCTTCATCCACAAGCTGGAGCGCAGCAGCAGGAGAAAGACAGGTAAGAATTATTTTACTTTTAATGTGTAACTTCATGTTTGATAGATGGTTACAGTTACCAGCACAGAGTCGCCGTTTGTCGTCAGGTCGACCACAGCACCCTCTGATCCCTCACAGGTCAGGTCCACCACCTCCTCCACACCTGAACATAGCAGAAGACAAAATAATCCAAATTCTGCAGAACCTTGAGTAACCAGAACCAGCTCATGGGCCTGGTTCTAGACCAGCTGTAGCTCCGTGGGATTATTTGGCTATGGGTGGATGACACTGACCATCCTCCGCACCGTCCATCACATCGATGGGTTCTCTGCTAGGGTTGCTGTTGTCAGCCATCCTGCGGGCAGAGGTCCGACTGTTGGTTGCTCTGCTGGTCTTGGTTCTGGAGACCTGAGAACTTCCTGCTGCCCTCCTCTTTCTCTGAGCCTGAAACACAGGACATAATGTCAGCAGTGGACAGAGCTTCATCCACCTGTGCAGCTGCCCAGAATGAAGGATAAAGGTTCAGTCCACTGGAACCCAGAGATGAGCCAATCAGGGTTCTCATTTTTGATCAACAAATTATCCAAAATCACATTCATCTGATCTCCAATCAGTGTTACTGATCCTATTTGGTTCCAGATCAAACGGAAGACTCACCGAGCTGCTCATGTCCTGGGAGCCACTGGGGATGTCGAGGCGACTGTCAGGAGATGCTCCAGGAAGGGCGGCTTGAGCTCACTGCAGTTCCTGGATCCTGGTTATCCAAACTCTGCAGATTTAGTGTGCATACATGAAAGACATTTCTGATGGGTTCTGATCTAAAATTCAGGCTGAACCAATCAGATGACTCATTATTGATGGATCATTGAAATTATCGTCAAGTAGTTTAGGTTGTTTTCACACTAGGAAACTTTCCATGGTGTGGTTGTGAGGTCTTGACCATTTGCATTCACATTGTACATTTTGCCATAGAACAAAAACTTAAAAGCCTGGTTGACAATCGTTGCTCCCACTGGACAGAAATGATTAGGCCACAGATCCAAAAATGGAGGAAAACTATCATAGAAGCCATGCTTGTCATCTGATATGCATATTTTCAAGAGCAGCCTTCTACTTCTAATTTTAGAACACTATCAAAGAGGAGACCCAGCATTGTGGTAGGAGCAATGTTAAGCAGCTAAAAGGGAATCAGGCATGATTTCAAATCTGCTCAGCGGCTCTTCATGTTCACACCAGAAGTGAAGCGCACCTCAAAGTGGGTCTCTGTCCAGCTGATGGTCTGGACCAGCATCCACAACAGCACAGAAGCTCCAAACCAATTTGGGAAATAAATGGCAAAACTAATCCTTGTAAAGATGATCTGCCTCTAAAGATGAATTTTAAGGAGGACTGTACTGAACAAAAAAAAAAAAGGAATTTAGATGAGAATCTGAACCCTAATGGATTGGAGCTGATGAACTAGGAATTGGATCTTCATAGACCATAAACCAGATTAGGATCAATAATCAATACCTGCTGAGAATCAGTCAGTTTATAGAGCTCTATGCAAAATTGTTAAGCTAACCTCCCATCTGTGTTGACCAGAGGTATTAAATCTCTTTCTCTGGAGTTTCAGACTAGAACTGGCTGGGCTCTTATTCCCGCTGCTCTGCATCCTTAATGAATATGAGGAACCTGAATCATATTAGTACAGAAGTAGAGGAAGTTGGGACCTAGAACAGACACTAGCAGCTAAACAGAAGCTAAATATCCTAACCTTGCTTAGTGGACCAGTCATCATCTTCCATCATTTGAATCCAGTCTTTCTGACTCAGCCCTCAACATCTTCAAGAAACATAACACACAATAAAATAGACTGTTTTTATGACCCAATCTTTATCCAGCCTTAGTGTTTTGGGATCCCACTCCTTCGCAGCCACAGAGTTCAGCTTTCCCATAAACCACAGCTCTACTTCAACCCCCTCGCCTCCCAACCAGCTAACTTGAAGGAACCAAACAGAAGTGCTTCTCGCCAGAACCAAGTCTGCATACATTAATATTGTAGGCCCATTTATGTTGGGACCACCCCTAAAATGCACGGTTCTTGTTGACTGGTTCTGTTTGGGTTTAATTAGTGTTCTATCCACAGATATCATTAAACATTATCCCCGCTGCCTTTTTGATCAGGCACCTGTTCATCTACCTAAGCCACAACAGTTCAAATATCAATGTATGTGTGGAACACTCGGTTCTGATCGGGTAACCAGCAGCTGGCTAAATATGGCTTCGGAACCGGACTCAGCTCTGGACCTGGACCCTCAGTGGTGGCCCTGGCAGCTGGTTTAGTCGTGTGAGAAGAGTTAGAGTCTCTCTCAGGATCATTTGTCGCCCAGCGGCTAGCCGTTAGCTTCTATGGCTCACTATTAGCAGCTACGCCAGGTGTGTTCCAGAGGGATTAACCTTACCTGGAGACAGATCCTTCTCAGAGTGGATCACTGCAGTCAGATAGGCGATATATCTGACCAGGAGAACTGAACTGAGCACTGTTACGTTGCAAAACCTCACTAACAACCAGCGACCTGCTCTTCTTCTTCTCCTTCTCCTTCTCCTTCTTCTTCTTTAGCTTTTTCTGGCAGTTCGCAAATTTTGTGTAATACCGCCATCTACTGGACGGAGATGTAATTAGGAAATTATTTTTTCTTATATATATTTAAATCAAATAACTACATTATATATATATTTATATTCTCACAAACATACTAAATCATCTCAGCTAACTTTGTATCTTTTAAATATTTTGTAAGTGCTTGAATTAAATAATGCGATTGGTGCTTCCCTAATAAATTGGCCATTACCCTGTCCAGTTATTTCCTGTATTTTGTATATTTTCTACAATAAATCAACACACGTTCTACTCCTTCTGTTTCCCCACAATAAGAACAATCACCTGATGGATGTTTCTCTATTATTTTTAAACCACTATTTAAACTAGTATGCCAAATCCTCAACCTGTTAATCCATATTTCCTCTTATTCATTATACTATTATTTCTTATGATTATCTTCTTCTGTATTTTATGTAAATGCCCCCCTCTTTCTTCTAAATTCCATTTCTCCTGCCAGATATTATTTTATCTTTAATAATTACTTTTATTTCTGCTCTACTTAGTGGGACATCATATTCAATTACTCTTGCCTTAACTGCTTTTTATTTATCTACTTTTCCATTACCTAAAATTCTTTGATGTGCTGGAACCCATCTTAATTGAATACTTATTTATTATTTTTGTTGTTGTCGCTTTATACCATATATCAAATAACTAACTTATTCTAAAATATATTGACTACTTTCAGATTTTCCCCTTATTTTAGTCAGGCAAGACAATGAATCTGAAAAGATAACTACTTTACTAGGCTTCTGCTCCAGCACCTATTCCAATGCCAAAATAATTGCCAACATCTCTCATTAATAAAATAGATAAATTATCTGTAATTCTTCTTTTTCTAAAATAAATAAATATTAGGAATATTGACTGCTACTAATGTTTTACCATTTTCCTCTTTTGATGTATCTGTATATATTTGTGTTATATTTTCATACATTATTTCTAAGTACTGCTGAATAATTTTATATAAACCTCAACAGGACTCAGACACCTGCGCTGTTTTTTTCTTCTCCTTTTAGTACAGTTGTCAGCCTCTGCAGGATAACAGCAGCAGTTAATTAGTTGTTTTTTTTTTTTGTAAGGAACTTTTAATCGTATGTGTATTTACTATCATGTAATCGGAACACAGGATCTTTTAATTATGTTTAGGACAGTCATCGGACAACTGGGTTATCAGATCTGACATGTTTTTGTTTCCCTTTTGGGTTTGCAAACTCTGAGTTTACTTGTGGATGGCATTAATATAATATTAGACTAGTATGTCAACATACAATTAGATAGGTGTCTTTGGAAATAAAAACCCTTATTCATCCATCCATCCATCTTCTTCTGCTTATCCAGGGCTGGGTCGCGGAGGCAGCAGTCTAAGCAAAGATGTTCAGACCTCATGATCCACACACACTTCCTCCAGCTGCTCTTGGAGACCCTGAGGTGACACCAGGCCAGCTCAGAGACATAGTCCCTCCAGGGTGTCGTGGGCCTTCCATGAGGCCTCCTCCCAATAGGACATGGAAGGAACACCTCCTGAGTAAGGCGACCACCTCAGCAGGCTCCTTTCGACGTGGAGGAGCAACGACTCTACTCTGAGCTCCTCACCCGATCTCGAAGGTGCATTTTGATTTCAATTTCAAGTCACAGTTAATTATTTAGAAAGTTGAACCAGACTGTGGCTTCGTTAGAGGAACCAGAACTATGGTTGATAAACCTTTAGTATAGTTCCAAACATTCCAGCAGCCATTCTTACTCTGACATGGTCTGCTAGACTTCCTCACAAACAGACCTTATTAAGTCTTGGTTGGACAGAACACCTCTGATGTCATCACCCTAAGCCCAGGCTCCCCTCAGGGCTGCACTGCTCTGAAGCTTCCACACAAATGCCTTTTTGCACCACATCTCTCCCAAGATGTTTACATTTTGATCACAGCTGCACTTTATGAATGGAAATGTTCTTTTTCACTCATTCACTGTCAGAAAGCTGAATAAAATAAACTTCGTTTTATATACACCATGTATACGCAATGACAACAAAGATTGTCTAGGTGCAAGTCCTCTTAAGATTTAAACTAAAATCTGAATTTTATCAGATCAAAGCTTCAATGTAACAAATCCAAACCAGAACATGAAACAGAACATGGAGAGAGCAGCAGGAATTTTAATAGTCATATTTTATTTCAGTTGCAGTCATTTCATCATTATTGTTGAGGTGATCTGCTACAATAAAAACTCATAACATTAAATTAAAACAAAGGTCATTGTTGGAAGAAAATAACCGATCCAATAAAACTAGATCTTACACTGGATCTCTAAAGTAAGGTCTAGAGGTACCAGAAGTGGATGGGAGCCTGGATCCGTAAGCACAAAGTAAACAACCTGACATCACAGATGATAAATGAGCCATGTAAAGGAGCATATTAGCATGGTCCACATGGCTTCGCCTCAGGAGGTGATGACCCAGTGCACCGTGGGATGTTGCATGGAGGCGGAGGCATCAGGCGCAGCCCGGCAGACCTGCTTTAAGGCAGCACCTTCATGAACGCCAACAGCTGAACGTCCCACTGAGCAGGGACACCTGAACGCAGCACAGCTGAGAAGACAGCAGAATGATGACAATCAATCCACAGCCTAGTAGAAGTTCATCCCTCTGTTAGCTTTAAGTGGAGGTGAAGGTCATGTGATCCGCTTGGTTCATCTTCAGGTGTGTTTCGAGGATCTGGAACATCTCCTGGATATTAGGCACGTAACCGGACTGCAGCTTGGACCAAACAGGAACGTCTGTGGGGAAAAAAAACAAAAAAAAAAAAACAGTGTTACACCAGGAAGTGGCTCCTAAATGAAGACCAGGGTTCCATTGGGAGTCATCAAATCAGTATGGACTTAAGCCAAAGTGGAAGTAGGAAATTTGGATGCCATGATAAGTACAATAAGAATAGTATTGTGGGAAACAATGTATGAAGAGGAAGCAGGGCGATTCCTATAGCTTAGGAGCTATATGGACATATAGACCCATCCCAACATGAAATCTCTTATGCCCTCTTTTCGACAGGCTTCATTTGGGGAAAGGAAGCCCCAATCTGTCAGTGAGCCCCAGGGCAGCTGTGGCTACAATGCAGCTTGCCACCATCAGTGTGTGAGTGTGTGTGTGAATGGGTGAATGAATGTAGTGTAAAGCGCTTTCGTCAGGTCTCCTAACTTGAATAAAGGCGCTATATAAGTACATGCCATTTACCATTTACCAATAAAGTAGAATAGGGTAGCCAAATTGTGACATGAACAGACTGATCATCACTGATCAGCCATGGATGATGTTTTTTTTCTTTTTTCAGAAAAGGAGGAGGGGAAAAGTACAACTGAGGAGCGACAACATTAACATCAAGGAACACTTTCACATGAAGCCATGGCCCAAAAATCAGATAAATACAAATTTATCTCATCTAAGCAATATAGTACAATGATCTGACATTAGTCTGGTATCAGCAGGTCACATACCCTTAAAGCTGTTCGGTTTTGTTCAAAAACTGAGGCAAAACACCCTCCTAAAACCAAATGTTTTAACTCCTAAAGGCAAACTTTGAGGAAACTAGACTGATGTCTCCCATCTCCACTTTACACTAGAAAGAACACCTGAACATGAATGACTTGGAAGGACTACGCAATTTGAAACTCGGTAAAAACAGAACATGTGTTCTTTCCATCAGAGGACAGCAGTAACATGAGTCAAACTGCCCTCATCCAGTTTATCCATCAGCAGCGATTCCTGGAACAACCTTCTACATTCTTGGACAAGTTACTAACTCATGTTTTAGTAGGAACCCATGTTGGGTGCACCTGTCAGCACTTACCGTTCAGAGTGACCTCAAAGGCTCCTGTAGACAGGAAGTGAGTCTCCATCATGTTACAGACGAAGAAGGCCATCAAACACGAGAAGATCTGACAAATGGAAAACACCACCATCACCATCTAAACCATCTGTTGTTATGGTAACGGAAGCAAGGCTCTGGTACCTTGTTGTTCTGACTCCAGGTCCAAGCAGCCGGTGTGTCAATGCCGAGGAGTGGAAAGGGATTCTGACCACTGACGACAATGAGGATGGAGATAAGCTTAAGATAGGAGATCAAGTTACCCAGAAACCTGTGAAGGAAGAGGAGGAGTTTTTGGATCAAGCTTCTGATTTTAGTTTTGGGAGGTCTAAATAAAGTACCAGGACTAGCTCTGAGTCAAAGGTTCAGGTTAGCTGGAGTTGCACCTGTTCTGAAGTGACGTCACACTGACCTGTTCAAGGGGGTGGGGGGGTAGTTCTCGCCCTGAATGCGAATGTCCGGATACACCTGGCTGATGGCCTGGGAGTATTCCTGGAAGACTTTACTGTAACCTCAGGAGATACTAGAAAATACATACAAATCAACCAGCATGTGATGTCAGCATTGAAAACGTTTCCACAAATTAAATAGAACCTTTCAACAAGTGTTATTTTTTTGAACCAAATAAAAGACATTTCACATACCAAGCTATTTAATTTTAAACAGATATAATAACTCTTTCATATTCAGCCCTTGATAACGTGATAGAACATCTTTAATTAAGAACTATTTTACCGTAGCTCAGATATAACAGCTTATAAAACAGTTTTGCCACTAAACTAATTTCTCATCGGCTTGTTTGATTGTTGTTTACGTCACTACTACTTGATAACTGTATAATTTATCCTTTATTTTCTGAACCCCAGCCTTTGATCACCATGTAATCATCTTTGTTTTGTTTTTTATTAATTTCCTCCAAAAAGAGAAAGTATATTTCAAGTAAAGCCCATCTTTTACATTAACTCATGTTTAATTAATCGGCGTGACGTCGTCCTGCTAATTGCTAGCCTGTATGCTAACTCACCAGTAACGGAACCGGAGCACAGGACCGGAGTACATGGCTGCTTTCGGGGTTTTGCCGGACTCTGAGTCCGTTTCAGCATCCAAAGATAATCCGCCTTTGCGGTCCGTCCGACCCACATAAACATCCCGCAGGGTCAGGGCCGTGAACAGCAGCAGAGCGGCGAGCAACCCGCCGGAGCCGAACTCCGCCATTATTGCGGCTGTTAACCTCAGGAGGCAGTGCACTTCCGTTAAAGACCGGTTCTTCTTCTTCGTCTTTTTTAA